GGCGGCTGGGGCGCTCGCAGTGTATGTGTAGGTTTTGTTCCCCCGTAGGAAAAACACTCTCCGCCCCGTGACAACGAGCTGGGAAAGCCCGCTCGGAAGTGCCACACGTCGGGGATGCTGACTCCCAACGGCAAAGAGTACGCCCAAAAAATCCCGGTGAGTCGGCGGCGCTGGGCAGAGACAGGTGAAAGGGGATTTGGGGGCCCGGAAAGGGACTCTGCGGGTCACACTGGCTCCTTTCTCCCCCCTGAAGAAATGGGAAAATACTCCTCGTCCTGTCAGAGCCCCCAAATGTCTTACCTGTCGTGCTGCAATGGTCCATCGCTCCGGTCAGGCTGGAGATAGGCAGAGCCGGTTTTATGCCTCCAGAGATTGGTTCATCAACCATTTGGATAGAAGAAGCTTGTAAATTTTCACCCCAAACAGCTGCACATCACAGGGGTATTGCATATGAATCAGTAGTTTGTTGAATTCTAAGAGTTGTATATGGATACCTATTCTTGGATTATACTTATTTTTATAATAAGTTTATTGTAGTAGTACTTCATCAAAGTGACTGACTGACAGACATCCTTTGATTTTGTTGTGGCAGTATCTGTGAAATAGAAACTTAGAAACTTGTGCATGTGGCAGAGAATTTAAATTAATCAGTGTCACTGCAAAATACAAAAACCAATCAGGAAAAAGAAATGGCAGTCATTATCTCTGAATCGTTAGTTGGGTAAGGGAAAAAGAATGCCTAAAATGGTTTAGACAGTTGTAATGGCAAAGGGGAAAAAAATCGTTATTAGTGTAGAGAAAAGCAGGAAGAGTTTCTTCAGAGAAAAAACAGATTGTAAAGTCAGGGATAGAGCAATGGAGAAAAACTTTGCCTCTAGGAGGAGACAGACAAAGACAAATGTTAACGTTTTATTCTTTGGTCGTGGTGGTGAGGAGCTTCCCCCAAGATGTCCAGAAGGTCCCCTGGAAGGGGAATGGGAGATGAGACACTGCTCACACTAGCTGAAAACAAGACAAATGCAACTTCTGGGGGTTATTATATATAAGCAGAGAGACAGAGTGGCCCTTAAATTTAAGTACTGAATTGCAGATGTAAATCTTAATCCCACTGAGATTTCACAATGAGACTGTATATAAGCATATTCATACGATCTGCCACAAAGTAACAGACATATTCCTTATGGTTTTAATTTATAAGAGAGAAGAACTAACTCACTTGATACTGAAACTTTTGCAAGCCTGGAAAGAACCACTTTCCCACTTTAACCAGCATATTGAGCACCATCAAGAGCTACCTGATGACAGCCTTAGCAAAGCTAAGCAAATCAGCAATATGGTACATGAGCTGAAGACTGGAGTCGAGAAAGTAACAGAAAAGGCAAGAATTTCAAAATAGCTTTTATTTATACTAGTTATGTGGCATGATGGGGGGGGGGGGGGCAATGTCTGCTTTCCCATGGGCTTGGAGGCTCTCATCCCCCAAAATGCTGGACTTTGTTACAGATAAAGGCATCTTTCTGTCAAAGGATGTGACTTAGTTTATGGATTGGCAGGTACGCAGATGGCATTATAGGTGTCCATATCTGTTAGCAATATTTTATTCAATATGAAATATATGAAATAAAGACACAAATACAAAGACTAGAGCCTTTTACAGCTTCATATATGAGCCAGTAATGACTTGACTTTTCTATGGCAGTGGGTAGATCATGATAAATGCTTAATATTTAAGTTTGATTTGGATTTACATTCTAAGTATTTCAAGTATCACTGTTGTCTGCTGCAAAGAGTTGCTTCCTAAGGCAACAATTTTATGCTGGGATAAGTTCTGCAAGACAACACTGGCATTGCTTAAGTCTGATGCCAGTCACAGAATAATTTCAAAACTCCATTCCAAATTCTGGCAGATCGTGTATGAATTACTGGATGTGATTTTTTTGTTACTTCCAATTCTGTCTTCTCAATGCTAGCTAGAAGTCCTGACCTTTGTATTTCTTGTGTATTCATATCTAAACTTATTTGTAGTTTTGGCTAAACAAACAAAGGCTGTGTGCCCATTCTCTGAAATGGCCACACTGCCAAGGTGTCCATTTCACTAAAAAAGTGATTGATCAACTAGTATTTTACACTAGTAGATCACCTTTCAGCTTTATGGACACAAGTGAAGAATACAAGATTTAAAATGATAAGCAGCTCATCACTAGAATAGGTGGATATGTACCCTGCTCCAAAATGCAGCCCTGATTAGGGTGACTCAGAGTTACAAATGGAAATTCCATCTTCCAAATACAGCCATGGTTCTGGGTTAAAATGGTCTAAAAGTTCAGAAGCGCTCAACCTCAAACCTTGACCTTTGCTTCATCATGTAGCTGAAGCAAGCCATCAAACTCTAAAATAGCTACACACTTCTAGTATATTTACCTAACTTATTTTTTCTAAAACACCTTTGAAGGAATTACTAAGAAGGAAAGCTTTGAAGTATTGACCTCACTGTACTATGGACATACCACAGGGTAGAAATATAATTACAAAAATTAAGCAAACTATGAAAATGCATTCCATGGTTTGCAGCTGTGTTTTTTCTGTAAGCCAGAAAAATTCTAAGCTTGCTTCTGTTTTGAGGCTCCTACTCTGAGACATGACCACAGTCTGCAGAGTTCACCATGTTAAACAGAACTGGTGGGTGCTCACATTAGAAGCTTCCCTTCACAAAAGTCATTAAAATATATGGCTAAAGCATCTCAAGATTGATTTGCTATAATACTTCAAGAGGAAATAATAGTTACCAAGAAGGTGTTCCTCTACCTAAAATCAGATGGAGTTACACCACAGTATTCATTCCTAGTATATCAAATCATTTCAGTCTAGCCTAAAGGTGGTATAGATACCATAAGGATAAAAAGACCATGTTACTCTATGTAAGGAGCTTTACATATATCTTCAATAAGTATGTGAAAGATGGGGAGTAGCACAGCCCAACATAGTGATGCCTCAGTTGACTTCTGTACTACTGTTTTAAAGATTTGGTTTATGTGTAGTTACAAGTTGTACTTCTTTTCCTGTTTTCAATACAGATGCAGTCAATGGGGATCATCAGCAATTCATTAAACAGAATGGCATCATCTGAAGGCCCTGGTTTATCAATTAGTAATGAAGCAAACATGATGAGTGACTCTGACTTCATTCACTGTTTCAGGAGAGATTCCAATAAAGTACAAAGCTACTTAAAAATTCTCAAATGTAGGATTATGCCAGAAAATAGTTGTTGAGCTGCAATCCCTTGACAAGTAGTGTTCAGCATGTTGTTGCTAAAGATAAAAAAGTATCTTATAAATTATCATATTTATAGTAATTTTAATAGCAAAGTGGTTTTTAAATCCTTTGGCAGCTACTTGACACACTTGACCAATGCAGATGAAATACTAAATAAATCATCATGTGTGTATGTGGGTTAATGCACCAGATAAAAGAGGAGTACTCTAGTAGTAGATAAATAAATGTCCTTGCACATTACACTGTTACAGACTATATTATGGCTGATTCACACAGTTTAGATATATACATAGAATCATAGAACCATAGAATCATAGAAAGGCTTGGGTTGGAAGGGACCTTAAAGATCATTTAGTTTGAACCCCACCCCACCATGGGCAGGGATGCTGCCCACTAGATCAGGTTGCTAAGGACCCCAAATCACATTTGCCTAGCAGTAGGATGGTGCTGATGGCTGTGCATAGAACAAATCTTCTTTGCATTCAGATCCTAAATGAGCCATTTGAACAAGCAGTTATAATCAACATGGATTTATCTTTAATATTCTTTACTGTTTCATCCCTGAATGCTTTTTTCTGGCCTTCCCTGATCTTGATGGTTGCTGACAGTAGCTGGAGCTCAGGCAGCCAAGATTGGAGAGTAAAATGCTGGTGATTATTTAATAATGATACAGAATTTGGGCTTGAGAAACTCAGCAGGGAAAGATTTCAAAGAAGCATTTACACAAACCAGAGTAACAACCTTTTCACTTGCATCTTCATAACTGCCAATATCCTCAGATATCTACTGTCTGGTAGACAGCTGATGCACTTTTACAGCTAGAAGCTGTGAGTGTTCACAATTCACATCTGGTCCCTGCTGTGCTAGGTATGGTAGAAAGGCAAGGGGTTACATCGTGCCTGCCTGAAGAAGTTACTAGCTGCAGTTCCTTAAGCAGTAAGATACTACAAACACATAAAGAAATAGCAGCATTCATGTGCAAATTTTGAGAAAATTCTAGAAACAAAACACAGCTCCAAAGAGAGCAAAGGAAGGCTCCTTTGGGCAAAAAGACAGAGCTAGAGGGGAATGTCCACTCTGCCTGCATCTATCTGCCATCACAGAGGATGTAGTAGCAATTAATAGCTGTAGCATTTATCCTGTCACCTAGCCCCGGGGTACAGCAGCCTGCTGGTGGTGTGTGTCCTGTGCCATGGCTCCCAAACACTGGAGCGGGGCGAGAGTGTGTTCACTGAGACAAACGGTGCTGGGGTGTAATCCCACCCCGGCCTGGCAGAGACACAACAGCTACCCTGCATCAGAGAGGAGAGGACACGAGAGGGGGAACTGGGTGAAGAGGCTGAAGGTGGGACACTCCATCCCGGACCCATCCCATCCCATCCAGCCCCGCGGGGCAGCGCCCCGGGCTGACTCGGCACCACGGACGGGACGCGCTCCTGTTCCTGTGGCAGGTGGCCGTGTCCCCACGGGCAGGTGGCCGTATTCCCATGAGCAGTTGGCCATGGCCCCATGGCCCTGCTTGGTGACTCTCAGAGCGAGTTGCAAGGCAACTCAGAAATCAACCATAATGATAGCTGGGAGGACCTCCCAGGGATTGTGGCTGAGAGTCAGGTGGGAAATATGTCACAAATGGAGCAGATCGTACAAATAACTTGTCTTCAAAGCACAAAACCCTGGGAACGTTTTGCTGGGGAGAAATGTGAAAGCAGAAAATGGGAAATGGGTGGCACAGGAGCAACAACAATGCACTGAAGTATTATCCATAGTCATTCATCCTCATTAGTGCTATATTTCAGATTTGGCTTTGGCTGAAGCAAGACGTGCTGGTACAACAAAAGCCTTCCTATATTGCCAGCATTGCCTTGCTTCCTCTTGTGGTTGAGGAAACAACTGAGCAGTGGGATGAAAAGGGCATGTGTTTCTCTATGGCCACCAATGCCTCAAACAGAAATACCAGTGATGGTTGCTTTTTGCACAAGGGAATACTTCATCTCCTGCATGGTTTCTTTCCAAAACAGCAGTGGAACTACTTAGCAGGATTTGACAATGCAAAATCATGCCCTACAATCAAATGCTTTGGAGTTTGAGAATGCATCACTTGCATCTGAGGATATTAACTTAGGATAATCAATTTTGTAAATTAACAGAAAATCAGGATTGGCTTCCAGTAAAGTGCTGGTCTCACGTGCAACAACCTGTAACACTGTATGCTATAGGTAAGTCATGGTGTAATTTCCATTTGTGAAAAAAATCTGTTTCCATTAACTTTCCTTGTCAACCAAATAAATTTAAGAATTAAAAATATCTCCATTGTTCCTCAGACCTTATTCCATGAAACACTGCAGGGTAACTCCAGAATACTGAGGTTTTTGTACAGACCAATTAGTTTTTTTCCAGTTATTAGAAGCTGCTTTTGCATATTAGAGATTTCCTCATCATAGTTCTTTCACTTTTTCAGAATGATGAAGGGTATGACGGAGACACTCCCATAGAGATTTCCTCATCATAGTTCTTTCATTTTTTCAGAATGATGAAGGGTATGATGGAGACACTCCCGGTGACTGAAAATTCATTTTGTTCCTTTTGTAATGTGCTAAATGGTTTTGATAGTGTATCTTAAATTTAGACTGAATCTGGTGTGCGCTGATGTTTGCATGATAGATTAAGTGACTAACATCACTTGTAGTTTAACTCTTATCTAAAACCATATGATAGCAAAGCAGAAGCAAATGGAAACAGTCTTCTTTGCACAATAGGCATTAACATTCAGGTTCCTCATATTACATTCAAATGTTAACCTGCAAAATACAAATTACTTGGAAAAAATGAAAAATTCCTCAAGGGTCATATGCTTATAAAAAGTGGTATTTCTATGTTCTTAGGCAAGCACTAGAAGATCACTATAGAGATATTGCCTTTTGGCATCCCTGTCCACCATGCCCAACTACATTGCTCAGAATTACAACCAATATTTATAGAAAAACAAAGGGCAGGAGTTGCTATTTTCGGGCCATTAATTTAGGTGTGAGACTGCATGGAGAGCATCTCAGATCCAGGTTTAAGTACCCCTTACACAGCAGCAGTCATCAGGCACATAGCTTAGAAGCATGGTCATTAAAGACTTCTATAGTCCATGGCAATTTCATCCACTGTGAACCTTTCTCTGCTTTTCGGTCTCCCCATGTTCCAAAGCTGAGTCTCAAGTATTAGACCTTAATTCCTCTCTGGTCCTTTCTTAAGGCACTGAATTTGCAGCTATCTTCTTGAAATTGGTTTTTCTTTCCTTTTAATATGTGAAAATCAGTAACAGTCTTGTTGGTAGAGAGCGTGCTGAAGCATGTGAATGTACTTGATTTATGTCAGTCCTTTGACTGTTGTACATATATTCGTCAGAGGAGCTGTGTGGCTACAGTGATGGCAACTAATATTTAAAACCCAGTACAAGTAAATCACAGTGGGTAAAACAAAGCTGATGTATTACTGCAGCTCAGGAGTGACATTTGACCATTGTACTATTGTTCTGACACTGAAGTTAATAATGACTAATGCAGTTTTGTGCCTTAAAGCAGCCCTGTTCTCCCCTGCAGATCATAACAATTATTTCCTGTTTGGCAAAGAATCAATAAAAACAAGATAACTTTCAGAAAATCATTTTATACTGTAAATCTGTACAACCAAAGTGTAAGTGCTGACACAGCTGTGGTCAGCAAATCCAGCTTTTAGCCATGTTATATGAGGTCCACAGAGGAGCTGGCTCACCCCTCATGTTCACGGTCTCACAATTGTTTACACACAGTAAAACATGACTGTGGCTGTGCCTGATGTAGACTTAAAAAATCTGCATCATGATATCTTTTAAAAGCCCAAGAACCAGACCTAGTGAAGGAAATCAGCACCCTCTTGTTAGGTATCAGGGAAGGTCCTCTGAGTGCCTGACTTAAGAGACAACTTTCAAGATCCACATTCAGACCCATTTGGAGGATCTCCATCCAATAGGCCTCTCCAGTTGCTGAGGCTGCTGGGTTAGGCAGTGAGATCCCTGTATCAGCAGCACAGCCTGAGGGAATAGAAGTCTGCAGCTTGGGTAACAAAGTGAGTACTGAGACTCAGCCCTTTCTCCCTTTCCCTGTTGTATTCTGTATTACATTAGCATTGATAAGTTGCCAAACCAAAGAGGTACTCAGTGAATATAAGTATTTGCTTTGTTTGTGGCCTCTGAAGAGTTGATTTTTTTTCACTGTGGTTCATAATTTGCACAAACTCTCCACAGCCTCAGGATCCCAATAAATGTCCTTCATAATACTCCACAGCCTGTAACTATAGTCTTAAAATGCTACACATAAGAAATACTTGATACCCTACAACCATGCTGCAAGGTCATCCATTGGGTTAAATCTTTGAAGACAAAGTAGCATCTTGCTGGTTTTAACTGTGAGGTGTCTGTCATGTCACTCCACTATACCAGGTGCACTCTACACCTTGCACCTCTGCAATGTGTCTGTTAGGAAACACCTCAAATATCTGCTGGGGATTTTGCATGTAATCTGTTGTCTCTTTGTTCTTTCTAAAACTAGTATGCATACATTGTTTGAAGGAAACAAATACTTACTTCTTGATCCATCACAAAAAAAAAGACTGGCACTGTAAATATATATTTGTATTCATACTGGTGCCTTTTCTCATTTACCGAGTTTTCACAGTATGGACTGAGGGGAAACATCTCCTTGAAAAACATAAAATGAGAAGAATCAAGGTTGAATGTGTCATGGGCCTAAATTCATTTTGACTAATTGAATCAGACTATTTTAGATATAATTCAAGATTCACATGTGTACTTTTAGGGTTTTAAAGAAAGCTTTATCAGCATTTTCAAGTAAAGAATGTTTTATCTGGCATACTGAGACTTTATTCTAGCTGTGGAATAAGAATACTGATAGGAGGTGTTAAGAGATTTGAAGGACCATGAAATGGTGTAAGTTTTAATAGGCTACAGTGAAAGCAGAACCTGTTCAATTTAAAACACGTGTAATATTACAACTGTGAAACCAATTCAGCATGAACCTTGCTTGATCTCTGTCTCAGTGAGACATTCTTCAGCTGTATTCTGTTCAGCACATCAGCTCACAGTTTTGACAGCAGTTCACGTTTTGTGCTTGCAACACCATCAACTGAAAGAATTTCTCAGGAGCACTCTGCATTACATCTCCCCTCTCCAAAAGTGTTGCTTCTCACACTGATGCTTGACTGACTTGCATAAAAGAACATGAGCAGCTGTGAAGACTCCCTGTCCATGAAAGGTGATACAGAAAAACCCCATTCATGTCCATCATACACTCCAAAAAGGGAAGCACAGATGAATACCCACACATATGAACCATCACTTGATCATTTGATGGTAGTTTGGAAATATCTGCATGACTTTCATTGTAGGCTCACTAGCAAATGCCATTTCACAAGTATCTGGGCCACCAACACTTGCTGATACTTCAGGCAGGAACCAGTCAAACAGGACAAGATTACGACTTCAACAGGACAATTGGACAGTAAATTCATCCCTATGCATACACAATCTGTTTTAGGCAGAGTGTGAGTTGTTTCTGGGATCTGAATTGCAAGATTGGACTAAACTTCTCACGTTACTGAACAGCATATAACACATGGGATACTAAAATGTGTTCAAAGGCCTTCTAAGGGTAGGCAGCCAGGCAGCTCACACTAATGAGGGTTTGTAACTGCAGGAAGAGATGACTTCTAATTTTTCTGTAATTTCTTTTATCTTTAAATCAAGCATAGGAAATAACATGCAAGGAATGACGTATAATGCAAGGCTAGGACTGAACAGTTGATCTCTGAGAAGGCAGGACGTGCACAAGGTGAGATCCAAAATTCACCTGATCATGCATAAATTTTATGATCAAGCTTCAGAATCGCAATCTCAAGTTTTTTAGCTGCAAAAGTATCTAAACAACACCTCCCAGATAATACAATGTAACAAGGAGTATAGTAGATCATCCACAAAAAGGTAAAACATTAAATAGCAACTGTATGGCTTCTTGAAAGAGGTACAGTACCATTCAAAACTTTGGAGCTCAAGGCAAGAATAATCAGAAACTTTCAAGGCATGTATGATAAGGAAAGCCGGACTAGATCATCATAATCATCTCTTTTGTCTATAAAATATATGAATCTGCTAGAAAGTAAACAGTCCCTATAAAACCAGAATGTTCTCTAAAAGGTTTTGCCTGTAACATTTTGTCTCTCTTCTCAACAAATGCATCCATAAATGTTTGATAAAGAAAAACAGTGTTCTGCTCCCACTTTGAGCTATAAAGCCTTGCAAATAAAACCAAAAAAATATCTTAAATTCATTGAATTATTTCCTTAAATTGGATGAAGAAAGCAAATAATTTTAAGCAGTTTTAATAATATTATTTGAGGCTACTTGTATTACATAGAATACTGCCCTGTCTTTGATACAGACATATCCTAATGTGTCCTCATTGGCACCAGTCAAACATTTAGAAGTCAGGAATAAGGCTACTATGGTATACCATCTCCTTAAGTACTTTTCTGAGATGGCTGTAGTGGCAATTTTTCCAATTATAGTTCTGTTGCTTAGCGTATTTGGGCTACAATTCTTCATATTGCCATTACAGTTTTGAAATACAGAAGAGATTACAACAGATTGCATTAACAGCCTGACAAAAGCCACTGAGATTCAGAGTTAAGAATGCTGGAAATTTCATCTCCATGTGAAAAGACAGAAGTAAGTGAACTCTATTTCCCAGTACACATTCACATCAAACCTACTTAAACATGGAATATTTTATAGAGTGTGTTGGTTGTCCTTTAGTATTGCATACTTTTTCAGGGTTATCAACTGACTCATGACCACCCTATTTAAAACTATTTAAATACTGACATAAGTGAGGACAGAAGAAGAAAACATACCAAAAAAATATTGTCTCACATGAATCTATTGTGTTATTTCATGAATTTCAAAAAGAACCCAAAACCACCTACTGTCTTGAGGGAAATAGGGTGGTTCTTATCTCATGCACAAAAGAAATTAATTGGTCTGACTACAATGACAGATAAAAGTGATTTTCTACCAGTGTGTTTTTAATGAATATCACATACAGTGCAGATATATAAATCAGAGCACAACTTCAGCTTCATGCTCTTCACTTCATCTTACTTGCCATCAATTCCTATTTCACTTTTAAGGTCAGTACAAGACTGGAAAAAAAAACACAAGAAAAGACTGAGTATTGAAGAATACTTCTTAAGTCATTAGTTGTTTGTAATTTTAATGGTGTTAGACTTTAGCAATTTTTTGAGGCATAAACGAGTTAGATTTGCAACGTCCAAATATTGTTAGTCTCATAAGACTGCTCATTTGAAGCCTGCACTCTCCACTCAATTTACAAACTGCCCCTACTTCCTTAGGCTGATGATGTAACTGCCTTGTTTGCAGTGTCTTGGTCAGGATACAAATACCGTGGGCTCTGTGATGAACTTGCTCTTGGAGGCGGTTGTGTACTAGTCAGTCTTTCAGAATTTCCTGGAGAATTCTCCCTCCACCTTGGACTCGTCTGCTCCTGAGACACTTCCCACACAGATGGGCATGGGGAGGTAAAATTCATGGTGGATCGTGAGAGGTAGTTCTCCTGAAGACCTTCTTCTTGGAGGCACCTATTTGAAAGCACTTCTTTTTCTTTGGAGTTTCGCCATTTCATCCTTCGATTCTGAAACCAAATTTTCACCTGTTTGCAAGTTAAGAAGAGTTTATTATCATACTTTTCTTTAAACAACTTTGCCCTAACAAGTGTTTTTTTCTTTCCATCCTCTAAGTTTCATGTTCCTTCCTTATTCATTGTTATAGCAGAAATCCAGTAAAGCTAGCTGCCTGACATTATCTGAGGATTTTCCCATCACTAATTAATACAGCTGGGCCAAATGCTCTCCTTGATTTTCATCACCTCAAACAGGTGATTATTTGGCTTAGACTGGAAAATGGACAGCCCAGTGGTTAGGGATAGAGCAGTTTCCTATGGCAACATTCTTCTAGACTGAAAAGGATTCCCAGAGAAAATAAACATCATCATTAACAAAACTAAGTGATATTACCAGCAGTGTAAAGCCCTCTATTTAAAAGAGACTGTAAGAACCATGACTGGGCCATTCACAAGCATAGCTAAAACCAGCTTGGCCATATAGGTTCAAAATGTGTGTTGTGACATAGGACACAGGAGTGTGGATTTAAAGACAATTTGTCTGCCTGACTATAGTTCTCCAGGAGTTGCCTACACTCCATGTGCTTTTGAGATAAAATCAATTTTTCAAAACCATTGAGTTGCAGCTCTTGAACATGAGCACTCAAAGGCATTTATGAAATGCCAAGGAAAGCTTGAGGAAATATACATTTAGGAACTGGTTTTACATAGAGAAGAAAGTTGGGGGAGATCAACTGTATCATTCAGATTGTGTTCTATTTTCACTTAAACATTTGCATTTAGGTCTAGTATTCAGATACTTGATATGAAGACAAAAGGGCTATGCTTTCAAAGGTTTCAAAGAATCATTGCCTTAGATGGCAGGTACTCTTCCTCCAGCACTGTGCTAAGTAAAGTGGAAGTATTTTAGAAGGTCACCCTGCAAAAGTTTTCCTCCTACAGTATCTCTCAGCTCTGAAGATCTCTTTCTTTGTGCAGCTAAGTTTTTTTCTGTAGGGATGGTTGCCTGTCTCCTCAGGTGGAATGGTTTCAGAGCAAGTGCTGTTGACTGCATTGTTCCTAGCTGTTTATCTGCAAGTGCAAAGGGTGCTCAGAGGAATGCAGGAGGGCTCTATGCTCTGATATTTTCTGCCTAGATCACTGCCTATTGAGGAGTGGGATGGAGCATAGTTCCCTATCCCAAAGTTCCCAAGGGGGCTCTGTCAGACTGCAAAACAGGAGCTGGAAATGAAATGCAGAGATCATGTTTCTTCTACTTAGTGTGAAAATGGAGTAATCAATTTTTGAATGGACACATTCAGGAAATAAACCAGGAAACTGTTCAAGCATTCCCTGGTTAAAACTACCATTGATTTACGGAGGTCTTTGCGCGGTGAAAGAGCTCAGGCTTGCCCCTGTGCTGTTCAATTTTCCTCCTTCAAAGCCATTTTAAAGATTTTTCCTCAAAAGGACAGAAAGTCACAGATGTTCTATTATTCCTTACCTGAGACTCCTTTAGACCCAGGTTAAGGGCCAATTTCTTCCTGTCTGTTTTACTAATATACTTCTGCTTCTGAAACATTTTCTCCAAAGCTTTCCTCTGGTCTTCAGAAAAGACAGCTCTTCTTAATATGCCTCTCCGGGATTTGGAGTTTGACTCCTGGGTCAGAAGAGGCAGCACACTTTCCTCTCCTAGTGGAAATAGATGAGAGTTTCCCGTAATATCTAGCACATATCAGAGAAGTATTAAGTGCTGTTCATTATCATGTTTGCAGACTCTTGTCCCACTTTTGATTTGTTGGTGTTATAAGTGTGTCGTAATGTTTCAGTCATGTTTGTTAAGAATTAAATCCTCACTTGGATCTAGAGGTGTTGTCAGTAGTCAAGAGCCTCCCCTGACATAGTACAAAGTAAATCAGATGAGTTCATAGAGGAACATTGACACGGAGATTGTGCTACTGCAAAATTCAAATATAGTCAGGGAGCAAACCTACCCACTCCCCTTTGCCTGTCATCATCACTGTGTAAACTGCAGTAAGTTTTCCCGTGAGTTTATTTTCTTCTTGTGTGAAATATAGAACCAGATAATAGTGGTCTGTAATACTGATTCAAAGAAACTAAATAGGCTTTCTTTAGGGGTTTTTTTGCTAACGAAAGGCTTTCAGAGTAAACTATTTCTCAGAAAATCCCTGGTCATTCACTTACTTATCCTGGAAACTGCAGCAATTTCTTTTTTAGCGGATTTGGGGAGTATTTGGACTTACTCCTTTCAGCCTGGTTTTTAATCCATAGCAAGTCCTGGAAGGGCAGTTTTCAATGAATCTAATCACATCCCCTTGATCCATGCCTAGAGGGAACCCTACCCTGGAAAACAGCCTCAAAGTTGGGAGACACAGCTGCAGTGGAGAAGTAGATGGGTTCACATTGTTCCTTCATGGGCCTCACAAAGAGCATAGAAAAAACAAATCCAGATAAATCTCTCGCCTTCCTCACACCACATAAAACCTAAAGCCATAGTGCTTTCCCATGCTTCCTCTACTCTGGAAGAATATGGTGCACGAGGAGCAGCCCCTGGTGAGACTTGGTATGCCTCCAGCACTCCCAGCTTCCCCAAACACTCACCCAAGGAGCAGGACCAGCAGCCAGTTGAATCACATCACCAAGCACTGGATGTGATAATTGCGTTGGGCAGATGCAAGCAGGACAGGAAAGAGCTGCACTTTGGCTTGGAAACCTGCGCCATGGATATTTATCCACTGGGGCTTACAATCTTTCCATAGGGGGCAGCCACAAAGGTGCAGTTCAAGCTCTGAAGATGCAAGCTGTCCTCCTGTTGTCCACCTTCCCACATACGTGGGCCTAGACTGCTGTCCTGGCTCATTGTTACAGCAGCTGCAAAGGTGCATTGCTGTTCAATTTCTATCAAGGATCTGAGAATTTTCATATGGAATCCAATGGCAAATTCCCCATGTAAAGCAGATTTTCTTAAAGGTTGTACTGGTTTTTTTGTTAAAAAATCTGTCTATTCTAGTCAGCTGTAACAGGGTGGGGAAGATTAAATACATTTGTTCTGTTGATACAATGCTCTTGAAAATACTAATTAAAACCAGATGCAGCTTCCACACCCTGTTTCTTGGGGTTACATAACATTTCAATTTCTGTATATTAGACATAAACACACATGCATATGTGTATCTGTAAACACCCATAGAAAAACAAAACCACATATACTGAGAATACTGTAGTATAATGATGAGAAACTGAAGCGTGTATGTGTATGTCTTGCAAAGTTGACTAAATACTTCTGTGGTGCATGTGTAACAGGTTCTATTACATATATACTACCTTGCATCCTGCTTCCAGCTGTGACAAGTAGAGGAAGAATATCAGAAGCTGAACAAGTGTACAGTGATTCTTCCCTGAAATACACTGGCACTGTGAAACATTACTGATTTAGAGACCTTTGCATTCTGTCAATGCTTTTCTTGAATTTTTTTGCACTTCAAGAACCAATCTTTATATTTGTCCCTCATAACAGCCTGTGGTAAAAAGTAATTATTATGATTTACAATGTAACAATATAAATAATCCTAAATACATACAGTTGTATTTCAATTTTCAAAATTATATCTGAGACCAGATACAAAAATCATAACCTACTGGTTAATGTCCTGATATTTATTACACAGTGAGACACAGTCACATTTCAGCCAAACCAAAATAAACTATCTGCAGAGCAAAAGTCAAAATGTCACAATGGAGGTTTCTGCAAAGGGCAAGCCAGGTTCATATTTCTCTGAGGAGTGCATAGCCCCTCACGACCCCCACCTCAAGCTCCCATCCTGCCCACAAAGCTGAGGGCAAGCTGGGTGTTTTTCTTCCTCAAGCATGTCTTCTCTCCTTCTTGTTCAAATTTGGTGAATTTCAGTACCTTTTTCCAGGTAGCCTCTGAATAGTTTCTGCTGAATTATCAGCCATTCTCAAGTCTGCTGGAAGGTACAGTCTGGCAGCAGAAGAGCTGGTACCTTCTCTCATTCCCACTCTGGGATGAGAGACACCAGCAGGGGAAGAGGCATAACAGGGCTGGTCCTTGCCTCTTGGCCTCCATTCCACAATGGAGTTGTCAGCCAAGGACAGAGGATGCCAGATTATGTGACCCCTTAAAATTTGTCTTGCCTGGCTGGTTGTTAACAGTCAATCAGCAAGGAAACAAGCTCCTGCTGGAGCCCCCGAGGCACCAATTAATTCCCAGACAGGCAGTTTGTAGGGTACAGCTTAACACCTGTATTAGATGAACTTAATAGTGAAGCATCTACGCACTCTAAGGCAAAGTATGTGATAGATTTTAAAAGATTAACTGAACAAAATTTAATGATGAGCAGAATGCTCACAAGCATTAGCAAAAAGCCATTGGGTCAAAACATTTGAAACCTAATCCTAGTTGACTAGCCTAGAGAATTTTTGTAAGAATAACCCATATTCTAAAATGCATTCCAACTGCTGCACAAAAACAAATTTCAGTTTGTGGATTAAAATACTCTTCAGTAGAGTGGGATAGGCAGTCATTTTTACATTTCAACAATTCCAGCAAAATTAAGTATGTCAGATTGCACCTTGCGCTCTGAACGTGTACTAAAAGGTTTAGTGTTCTGCTGACATAAAAGTGACTCTGTTACCAACTATTTCCTATGTTGTTGGTTCGATTTTTCTTTTGGTTCAGGGTTTTTTTAAGTCTTTCCTTTGTATCCTAATATATAGTGATAAATATCCTCTTAATTCATTTGCCTTCATGGCAGAGACCACCTTGAAGGAGCAAGTAAAAGCTTTAGTCATGGTTTCCATTTTTTCATTAGAAATCAATACATTCTAGTTAAATGGACAATTAATAGGTCACTTCCAAAATAGTAGTGTATCAGTCCTGGTTAATAAACAATCCTCACAGTTGATAATGGGCCTATGTATTCAGCAAGTCCCTGTATACACTCGGCTCATCCACTAAATCCCTTTTCAGGTAGACAGGGTTATATGGGAAGATGAGCTAGAATGAGTCTATAAAAGTCAGTTTCATTCACTGCTTTATTTTTCAGTCAAGTGCTTTAAATGGTGTCCAGAAAATCTCTTGGAATGTGAGACAGGAGAAAAGACTGGCACATAGAGTATTGCTTTATGGCCATACAAAAGGGCAACTGACCCTTGCCCAGGCCTTTTCAATGTGAAATGGTTCCTAAAGTTCATCTGCACAGTGAAAAATTGTGGTGAGGTCGCGTGTGGATGAGTAAAGTGAAAGTGGTGATTGGTCATGGTGCTGTCAGCCATTGTGGGAGAGCCAAGGCCATGTAAAACGCTCTGTGGGAAAGTGTCAGCCCCCTAAAGAGGTGCTCAGAAACTTGCAGCTCATTAAACTGCCAGCATTTGCTGCCTCACTTGTCAAGAATCATTCAACTTAGGATCTGCCCTTCTGAAACATTCATAAAAAGCATGCACTTAGTCAGGAAGGGTTTGAATGCAACCATGATAAAGAAGTATATGCTATAGCACGTATAAGCTCCAATTTTTATTTGGATTTGACACATGGTTTGCACCATTTTTTTCTGTTTTGAAGAACAAGGAAACACTTCTTGTGTTTGTATTCCTGAGCCATAAACATGTAAAATCATGACTGTCCATTCTTATGCTATGGCATGTAATCTTCCCAATGAAGGTTAAATTTAGTTTTGGAGTAAATGGAAGTGTGTTCCAGGCCATAATCCGGAACATACAGTGTATACTGGCCAAAATTCTCTTCAACCTAATTGTTCAATGTTTTACGTTATGATTAAAAAACAAATTAAACATGTGCATGCATTTGACTGCTACATAAAGAATGACTGTTGTATTTCAATAATCCTAGGGCTTCCTGAGTCATAATTTATGCCTAACAAACATTTAAATGCAGCACTCAATTTAAGACCCTTCAGCTCTTTTCTTATTTTCTAGTGTTTATTGACACAGATTTTTTAAAGAGTTACTGATTTTAAAGAATCGTTTCTAGCAAACTGAAAACAAGGAGCTTTCCTGGGTTAGCTCTGTCTGGGTGTCTCAATACCATTAGAAACCCCTCACAATTGTTCAGTGTACTTAAGTTTGATAAATCTTTGGAAACCCTCTGAATAGGATTGCTGTGATTTTACTAAGGAATTAGCTGCTGCCATTGCATCACCAATTAGTTTTCCAGAACACATTAAATCCTGCTGCTTTGGTTTACAGAATAACTCAAGCATTACTGATGAAGCATAAAAACTTACTTGGAAAAGCAGTGGGGGATGCAGGGTGCTGACAGGACCCACCACAGCATGCTGAGTAGAATGGTGGGGCTCGGAGAAAAAAGTGTTTGGAAAGAGCTGCAAAGAAAGCATAGATCTAATTGATTATCCATTGAGCTTAGGTGATATTCATAACAACAATCCTTCAAAAAGTCAATGTGTAAAGTCCTGCCCCTCAAGTTCTTTTTCCTTTTTTCAAGATGCTGATATTTTTAAGGCAAACAATGATAAACCAAGTAATTGCTCTTTAATTTGGCAAGGTTCTTTTACATGTGTAGCTGAGTTAAAACTCTCAATATATTTATCATAAGAATGAAGCTCTGCAGATTTGAATTTTGCTTCTGTAATTGCTATGGTTTTTTTCTCCCTAAATATTGGTATTGAACATATTGTTTCAATAACATTACTGAAATAATGATTCTAATGAATCTGAGAAAGTTATTTTAAATAACCCTAGTAAGCATGACATCCTAGAAAAACACAATCAGCTTGTACCTCAATACTGATAATAGTATTCAAACCAATAAGATCCTCAATAAGAAACTTTTATGAATAAATTCTATAAAATGCTATGACATGAACCAGCTGAGCTCTACAGGTCCAAACTACAGGGCCTGATTCTGTTATCCTGACAGTCAGCTTGGTCTTGCTGGTAAAGTGCTCTAAATTTAAATAAACCACTTGCTGAAGAAGGCTCTGCTTAATACAACACCAAAAAAACTGCAAAAATCAACCCACACAATTAGGTAGCAGTTGGTAACATTTCTATTTTTGAAACAATTAATCAAAAGTCTCTGTCATGTCTAAAAAGCACTTCCAAACCCTGGAAAGGTCTTCATTATCTGCTAACCCCATAAGTTTCTTCTATAAGGTTCATGGGCTTTTCCATTAATCTTAATTACCTTCCAATTTCTGCTCATACTAGTCAGCTATGAAACCTGGAATATTTCTGCTTTTCAAAAAAAGATACATCATGCTTGCTAGAACTGCACACTTGTAAAATGTGATCAGCACCAAAACATTTATGGCACTTTGCTGTTTTGATTCAGTCTGAAAATTAATAGTTCTAGAGCCTCTACTGTCATTTGTCCAAATCTCTAGAAATAAAACAATTAATTAAAAAAAAATAAAAAAGAAGTAACTGCACACTTAGATAAAAAAAAAAATCAATAATCAGGAAGAAAGGTAGATAAATAGATAAATGTATCCAGGCAGTAATGTCAATTTTTACAGGTTTTTCCACTGGAATTTAAAATAAAGATCACTAAGATTAGGTTCAGAAGTACATATTAGAGCATCATGAGAAGTTTTCTGAGCATTAAATGCACTGCTATTCCAGAACAATAAACTAGGCTGTAAAAACCTAACTTTAAAACTTTTAAAAAATTTTTACTTGCAATTACAGATTGATATGCATTTTGCTGGTACAGCTTTTCCTTGAAACTTTGCTGTTTCTAAAGACATATAAAAATATATTCCAAGAGAAATTAATTGCCTTTTTTTGAGGTGTATACTTGCGAAACATTTACAAAAAGGACTTATTTACATCAGGCATTAGTATTCTAAAGCTTCTTCTCCACAAAAGACCAACAAATGTGGAACTGTGTCCTAAGCAACTTAAAATAGTCAAGAACATACAGCCAAACAATACCTATCTTACATATCTAAGGAACTTCAGTGTAACTGGTGAGGTGTGGAAGTTGGGAAGGATTTGACTAACTCAAGCAGCACAGGAGCTGCAGAAGGTAAAAAGACCTGCCACATAGTATCAGTTATCCTCCTAGACATGAGAACTTGTTATTGACAACATCTTTTACCTGTTGCTCATGTTTTATCTGCTCCAGTTCCCAAACTCCCAGGCTTCCATTGCCTATATGAAACTGCATTACCAGAATGAAAATTGTTCCGAGAAAAATGATATATTTAATATATATTTCAGAATTATACTGTGATTGCACCTGCAGGAATGACACTATCAGAGCTGAGGACAATATAGAGAAAGCATTGCCTATGCTTTTATTTTCTGTGCACATATATCATGGCAAATCTACCAATATTTGTTGGTCAGGAAATCTAAAGTAAACACTGTTTGCTGTTCAAATAAGGTTGAAAATTGCTGAAAGGACAGAATATTAGTTCTGTCGTTTTCAGTTTTTTGGCCAGAATGAAGCACACAGCAACCAAAAGGCAGCTGTTGTTCCCAGACATGTATAGCACACATTAACCAGGGGCCAAATCCTAATAATTTGTATTCAAGACACTTAAGTCTTTTTCTGCTTTGCATCTCCATTTCATAAAACCCAAGATTCTGTGGAACTGAGTGTTTCACAAGAGTCAGTCTTTACAGGTTTAGCTTCAAAATAACAAAGTATGCTATAAATGCCTTTTGGCACTCCAAAAATTGTACTATATGCCTTAAAAGGCAATGCATTTGTACATAAATATGAAAGGATTAAATATCAAAAATAAAACATTTTTTTTCACAAAAGATACATTCTTTTGACACTGTTGCTGCATGCAAGATTTTAGCAATAATGTTCATTACATTCAGCTTTGTGAATAAAAATCATTTTACAAAGAGACAATAAAATATTAAACATGCAAATGGACCTCAAGCTCATCTTTAGTGCTAAAGCTCAAAGAGCAGTTCAGATACTGATATTTCAAAATATACTGCCCACTCTGAAGATATTCCAAATTCAAAAGCACTTCCATTCTAAATGCTGACAGTGGGATCACATGTTTTGCTTCCAACTATCCACCACGTTAAGAGTAAGGTTCCCAAGTACAATTCAGTTCAAATGTAGATGTAATTTTTAAAATGCCTTTTTATTAAAGACATTGTTTGCTTTTCCTAATCAGGAAATAATGTAGTCCTTTAGCCAGCAGGAAAGGGGAAAAGGGTGAAGCACAAATGGCTATTGAGGAAAAGTGAACTGATGGCAAACCTCTGATATTACCCATACAGTCTCCTTCACTGCACATGTTGCTAGTCTGTCGGGTTTTTTTTAAAGATATGTAGACCTGTGAAGAGAGCTGAAACACCTCCAAAGAACACAATCAGAAAGCTGCCCAGAGCCAACTAACGACAAACCGTAAGGAGAGGAGGAGAGAAACCTCAAACTGCATGAATACTTTAATTCTCCAAGTACTGCTAAATCCACATGAACTGCTTTCCACTGCAGATTATCTGAAACCACGTGAATCACTGTCAATTTTCAGAGGCATCATTCATACGCCTTATTATTAGGGCATAATTTGCTGAAGATGTTTTTCTCCACCCTCAAGTGGAGAACACAATTGCCTCAGGCTGGTGACAATGCATCAGATTTCACCTCTATGACAACCCAAGACAACAACCAAACCCCTCATCATTTTCCAAAGACTCTGTGGGTCTCCTGGTGTTAGCAGTTAAGGTGGCTTCTACCCTCTCCATGCCTCGTACACAGCCTTGCTATTGAGAATAAAGATGGGGATCTGGAAAGCTGTGGATTTACCAGCTTTGTTTCCAGCTTCATCCTTCTTTAAGATGCCCATGTACTAGTGTGCCCCAGCACTTCATGCTTACCAGTTCTTGTCAAAAGGGGCATCACTGTCACGTCTGTCTAAAAGTTCAGAGTATTGCCTGAGCTCCTTATCTGGGCCTCCTGTACACTCCATAAGAGATAAAAACGTCTACGCAATGATTCATCACCAGGCACATCTGAAGGTAAGCTATGTCATCCTCTGGAGGCATACAGTACCGACCATAGATTCGACAAGACACTCTTTATTAAACTGTTGATTACTGTGACATTATTTTCATCCTTCATAGGTAACGTCAAAAGTATACAATCACCTGTACAGCCATAAAGACTCTGTAAAAAATACAAAATTCAGTCATAAAGGCACAAAAATTATTTACTTTGATTTTCAATGCATTACAACTTGTTTAAAAATTATTTCCTCAAGCTCAGCAAAATTAGGGTCATATGCTGCAAGAGGACAATTCAGTCTTTTTATTGTTGGACCCCTAATTTGAAAACATACAATAAGCCAAAATGCACCATTTATTCCAGTGGAATGCATGGATTAGCTACAATTTCCTACCTGGACTAGTCTTTACCTGTTGCAGTATTACTAGCTCCAACCAGAGAAGTCTCGAGGTTGGCTAAATATTGTTAGAAAGAAAAAATAACAAATGGTGTACTCTTTTTTTTTTTAACCACATGAGGGTCTTAGTCTTCTTACATTTGTACAATAGAATACTTTTTCAGGTTGAAATTCAAGATATTTACATAGTCACAAGATTCCAGGGGTGGGGACTTTAGCGAACATCAAACTGTCCAACAGGAGGAGGTATAATCCTCAATGTACATACAAAATGCCTCAAAAGAATTGCGTGCTACAATTGCAGAAAAAGGCAGCCTCTCAAGAGAAATTTTCATAAGCTTTTCAGCACAAAGCAAAGGCCACTTCTCCTACGTGACAACTTACCGCAAAGAAGACTGCCCAGGTCGCTGAAAGTATTTAGGCGCCTAACTTTGTAAAGATCATAGTCTACATGTCTGACATTTGAAACAGCCTCATACTGCTTTATATACCTGCAGTTGTTTTCATTTTGAAAAAAATGCCCTTCCCTTCTGCTATGGGTCATGATTGACCAGAAAAGTATCGTGTAAAACATTAAAGTGTTATTTTGAAGAGCTGCTTTATACAAAAAGGCATAACACATTCAGTGGACAATGGAGGCAGAGAAATTGCCTTTCAAAATTCAGGGGAATTTGGTAACACAAACCAAAAAAAAATCACTGTACAATGAAACTTGAAACCTGCACTCAAATAGAAAACTTGCCTGATGAGATTAATCCTCACCACAATCATGTGTTTTCTAAAAACATGAGGAATATACTACAAGATTACAGAAGACCAACTCATTCTGCAATACAAAATACATTTTACAGAAGTTAATTTGCTAACTGTAGTCATGATTAATTCCATGGTTCCCCCTCGGTGAATTGCTTTTCTACAAACGCTACCACTTGTCTTCCTAGGTCAGCTCTGAGATATTCTGGCAGTGTTAAATCTTGCTATGG